TTAACTCCTTAATGCTTTCTGCTACTTTCAGGTGGAGAAAACGAATGAAGAAAAAATGACTGTAGCCACGCCAGAATCCACGAATTCAAAAGGAGACTTTGGATGCTGCTGAACCTCGATGGTCATCGGTGTTCTTTTAAAAAAACAAGCAGGGCCAAGGATGGAAAGGAAAGGGAAAAAAAAAAAAAAAAGAACCCACAGCAGCAGGAGAAAACCTCTCAGCGTAAAGCATCTGGGAGCCTCCAGCTCTCCCCCCACCCCCAAAGGGAGGCTGTCTAGGGGAAGGGCGTGGGTTGCAAAGCCTGCCTCTCATTCTCTCCAGCAGGAGGACAACCTTGGAGTGTGGGGGGGGGGCAGGGTTTTTTCTCCCCCCAGAGCCTCAGGCCTTGCTCTCCTCCACTTTGACAGCTTGAGGCTTGATGGCGCCTGTGCGAACTGCCTTCATCGGACCAGCGGAAGGAGCCTCCTGCAGTTTCCCGGCTCCCAGGCCTTTGTTCTCATCCACTCGCTGTTTTGCCTGTCGGTCAGAGGAGGAAGAAAGGAGGAGGAAGGGAGAAGAAGGGAGAGAAGAAGATGGGGGAAGGGAAGAAGGAAGAGGAGAATAGAGAAGGGAAGGGAAGAGAGAGGAGAGGAAAAGAGAGGAGAGGAAGGGAAAGGAAAAGAGAGAAAGGAAAGGAAAAGAGAGGAGAGGAAAGGAAAAGAGGGGAGAGGAGCAGAGAGGGGAGGAGAGGAGAGGAAAGGAAAGGAAAAGAGAGGAGGGGAAGGGAACGGAAAAGAGGGGAGAGGAAAGGAAAAGAGAGGAGAGGAAAAGGGAGAGAGGAGGAAAAGATAGGAGAGGAGAGGAAGGGAAAGGAAAAGAGAGAGGAAAAGAGGAGAGAAAGGGAAAAGGCAGGTAAGTGAAGGGAGAACAAAGAGAAACGGAAAGAGAAGGAGGAAGAAGAGAGAAAGGAGAAGGGAGAGGAGGGAAAAGAGAAAAGGGGAAAGAAGAGAAAGGGAATGAAGGAAAGAAGGGAGAGAGAAGAAGGAAAGACACAATCAGGGCAAGATTATCCTGAGTTTCCTTCTCCCTGTTCCCAGGACGGTTGCCATTCATCTCCCTTTCAAGGCCTTCTTCCTCTTCTCTCCAAGGTCATCCATTCCTTTCCTAAGGTCGTCTCCACAATCCTTCGCTTCGCAGGGGGGCGGGATGGAGAAGGACAGGAGAAGTCCTGGACCCTGCAACACCCAGGAGGTTCTCATGTCCCAGAATCGCCCCAGGAGACCAAGAGGACCATGGCCTAAGTCACCCTCCTCCTCCTCCTCCTGTTATCACCTCGCTTCTCCTGGCGGGGAAACCAGCTCTGATGTTGCAAGTTCGGTTCTCGAGGAGGGAGCTGATGGAGCCACCTCTTAAGGACACTCCTTAAGTGTCTGGAGCCCGTGTCCAGGTTACCTGTTGAATGTAATGCCTTTGGACAGAGCTCATGCCGACGGCCGATCCAGAGGACTTCCCGCTGGGGCTGGCAGAACTGGGCCTGGGAAAAGGGGAAGGAGAGGGCGGTAGCGGGGGAAGACAACAAACAGCGCAACACAAACCATCGTTCCAAGTCAAGAATGGATTCCGTGGCCCCGGCTTGGTGCGAAAAGCAAGCCAATCTCTAATTCTCCATGCATTTAATTCCCAACATAATTTAACATCAAGTTCTCAAGATAACGCCCAGCTGTTCATAGACTCCGTTTTATTTTATTTTTACTAGCTCGGTACCCGTGCTTCGCTACGAAACTATGTGGTTGGGCTTTGTTTTTAGGGAGGAAAATAAAGGGGGGAGGAGGGGCAATTCTGCCTCTGACTACCAGCATCCATCAGTAGTTCATCTGGCTAGTGTGTGAAGAGGGTTGAGGGCTGTTTGGAAACTGAAACAGTATTTGCCACGTGAGCAAGGAGACAGCAAGGAGCCTGGGCGTGGCTTAGCTCAACTGTTCTGTACTAAAGCTGGTTGCTGCTGTGAAAACTGAAACTCCTTGGTGCCCTCTGAGCTTGGTGGGTTTTTTGGTAGGTGTTTCATGACCCAACCAGGTAAACATCATCAGTGCTAATGTTGCTGTATCACTGATGATGTTACCTAATGAAATGTCTGCAAGAAAAACCATCAAGCTCAGAGAGTGCCATGGTCCCCACAGTTCAACTACAGATATTTTTGTCTGTTTCCGGTGTTTATATAAATAGCCAACCTGAGGGAGCCAACCACTTTCTCTAAGAACCAGGAACCCCGCCGGCTTCGCCCCGGTCCAATAAATCTAAGCATTGATATCATATTTTTTTTTCACCTGTAAGTGTGAGAAGACGGAATGGGTCCACCAGAAATGATGTTCTGTTTAGTGTCTGCAAAGGAGAATCCTTTGATTTCCATGTGAGAAGACTAGAAGATGAAAATGAGGGGAGAGAGAGAAACAGCTAAATTATTTAATCTTGCAGAAAAGGGGAAGTTAAAGAGATATTTGGGATATAAATACACATACACACATATATGTGGATCTTTGGTTATTCGGGTTTTCTCCCGCGTAGAATTGGAAGTATCTAGGCGACGTT